AGCAAATTGATAATTTGCCTAAAACTTGAAAAAAAATGACTTCAAATAATATCATACTACAAATTTCCTTTAAAAATCTTTTGCGTAAAGCGACTCACTTTTTTAAAGATTACCTTATACCGAAAAGTACAGTTTTGTTTGAAATCAAAGCCTTAAATTTGTAAATTCGCGATTCAATTACCATGAAGTTGAAAGTTAAAATGTAGGCTCTCGTAAACCTAAGTGTGTAAAGTAAAAATTAAAAAAAAATTTAAATTTAGAGATTTTACTTCTTGTTCTGAATATGTAAAGAGCTCAAAATAAAAAGCGGACCACACTAAATAACTTTTGATCTAATGATCGGATCTTCCCGTTCTAGGACTCAATTTCAATGGTTCGAAGGGGTGACCTCAAATTTGCTAAATAATTAGTGCAGACGATATTTTAAGCTGCGAAATCAGATACAAAAACGTTCTTTCTCTGGATAAACATACCTTTTTTGACGGGTTCAGATTTCTGACAAACAAAAAAATTTTAACTTTAAAAGGCAAAATACAAAATTTGAGCGCAATCGGTTGAATAGTTCCGGAGAAATTGAATTTTGAAGATACATCTTCTCCAGAACTATATTTCTCAGGAACTATTCGATCAATTTCGCTCAAATTTTGTATTTTGGTTTTTAAAATTACAATCTTTAAAATGATATAAAAAATTGTATACCTTACCATTCAAAAAATTTTAACTGTTATTAAATAAAATAATATTTATTTACCAAGAGACTGATCAAAGAAATGAAATAATTTTAGGATAAAAGAGTTTTATAATTGTGTGCAAATTTTTTTTCAATTCGCTTAAAAAGTTCTCGAGATGCGGTGAAAGACTTAAAGAATGAAATTAAAATTATTACGCCCTAACTTTGCATCGCTTTCCTGACTTAATTTTGAGGACCATATATTCTAGATTACGGCTACCCCCTATATTTTGGAAAATCTGAATCCGTCAAAAAAAATTATGTTTGTTCTGAGAAAGATCGTTTTTGTGTCTGATATCGTAATTTAAAATATCGTCTGCCACTAATTATTTATCATATTTGAGGTCACCCCCGCGAACCATTAAGATTGATTCCTAGAATGCGATGATCCGATTATTAGATTAAAAGTTATTTAGGGTGGTCCGTTTTACTTTGCCCACTATACATCACTACAACGGAGAAGAGAAGTTCTGATGTATGTATATATATATATATATATATATATATATATTCTAATACATAAGACCAAAATATATAATATTTAAACTATTCATTTGGTATTTTTTCCGTTTCTATGATAACGGTTTACGGGAAATTCTGGTTTAGCAAATTATAGTTCTTATTGACGCACATTTACTAAAAAATATGAAGCTTGAAAGTAAATATAACCGAATAAATAATTTTTCTGTCGTGCATTAACATATCAAGCAATCAAGCCATGCATTAACATATCAAATTATCGCATTTTACCACATTTACCAAATTATAGCACTTTTTATAAAATAAAATTTTATTGTTTATTTTACGAAAGTGCTTTGGTAAAAATTATCGAGCTTTTTGGTGTTAATAGAGGCAGAAACAGCAAATTTTACCTTATTCTGATAGTTTTCACTCAACGCGTAAATTAAACTGCTTTCCGCGGCTCTCAGCGATCGTGCAATTCATCTTACTATGGGCCCAACTTGGCTCCTACCTCCAATTTTTCTCCGCCGTATATTGAATCTTGCTTGAAAAGCATTTAAAAATATCTTATCGACTTTATAAAACTTTTAGAGTTGTTCAACAATAGTTTTGGTTTAGAAAATTTTTTAATAAAAAATCTAATTAAATAATATAAAATTTTATAAAATAGATTATAGATTGGCAAATTTTATGAGATAGATTAGTAGTTATAGATTGATTATAGTTCAGAGAACTAAAACTCGTAATTATAAATTTATATAAACTCAATATAAAATTTTATACTTGACAATCCAAGAAAATATTTTATTATACTTTCAAAAGACTTGTACTAAAATAATTTTTCCGTACAGACAAGAAGGTTTTAAAAAGAAGCATAATAAACGTTAATATTTGCATGTTAGACTTTTAAACTATTACTAAACTTCCAATAATTAAAATTAATACTTTGTATTTATGCTCTCTATTTCACACTGTTAGAAATTTCTCGGAAAAAATGGTTAAAAAGCAATTTATTTAATTGTTTTTTCACCATATTGAAACAAAACAGTCAAAAAACCAAACCATAAAAAAGACGGTATTCAAACTGTTAACTGCGATGAAAACTGTTTATTGACCGTTTCCACGTAATACGGTTAAACAACCCGAAGTTGATCGCACCAACTAGCCCTATGTAATGAAGTCACTTAGTTCCTTGCAGAGTGGTATATATTATAGCCGAGAGAGCTAACCTGTTAATCTCGTGACCGACAGAACGGCGGTTCGCATCCCAGCATTGACATTGTGATATTACCTTCATTCCCTTCAACACATGGAAGGGTTTTAGTGTTTTGCACACCCCAATTTGTGACCCTGGGTTATTAGAATACGATACTCTCATTCACTCATAGATGGCAGCACCATAAAGCTGCTAAGCTATTTCCTATTTCTTTTACGGTTTTGAAGCCATGCTGGTTGTAAATAATTTAAATCCGTATTGTTTTTTATTCATGGTTTTTGAACCATACTAGTTGTAAACGGCTTCAAAACTGTAAAGTTAAAAAATGTTCTTTATCGTTAACTTTACGGTTCAGACATACGGGTAGACAGACTACTGCTGGTTATTTTACTGTAATTTTAGAATGAAAATTCTAATAGCACAATAGGTCACTCAAAACAACAGCTCCGAAAATTTAAAAATGTCTATTAGCAAAAGTGGAAAAATCCCGATAACCTGGTGTGTAAAATTTTATCTGGAGTCAACAATTTTTAAACATTGTAATATACTTTTAACATGAGACAATTATATGTTCGAAAAAAATTATAACTTAACATTATGTGCGATTGTAAATATATTTTTTAGTTACTTTATATTTTTAGTTATTGTTAAAATGAAACAATAATTATTTCTTAAACAAAAAAAAGTATGCTTAAGTCCATTTGATTAGGTATTGGATTCTGAAAAGATTCCTCCTGACTCTTATATTTATTAGTGAATCTCGGCACGATTCATTTTAAATTTAATTTTATTTTACACTCAATTATTTCATTTAAACTATTAATATTGGGATATTTTTAATTGTGTGTAAGATTCAAAACTTGTACAGATTTAAAATAACTACGTGGGAATTTAATGAATGTTAGAAAAATAACTTAACCCTTCAAGACGGGTTATATGCATGTTGTACAAATGCATATATGACTCACCCGTTCCGAAGAAGTTAAAAAATTCTTATATTATATTCTTTATGTATTCTTATAACGATGTTCGTCTAAAAATAACTTAAAACGTTTTACAATGAAAACGAGTTAAAATTTATTAAAATTTAAGCATTAAAATCTTAAAATATAAATATAATTTTAAAAAAAAAATTTCATTTCTGTTTTTCATAAGCATTTAAATATTATTTGCATACTTTTAAGATCTGAAATTTTTTTCAGAAGAATCTATAAGAGAAATCTATCTATGAAAATTTTAACCTTTAATATGCCAATTATTTTGTTTAACTAATAAAACTTATTTCAACATAATTGTTTTATGTTTGATTAGATTTCCCTTTATGTATGTGATATCTAAAATATAAATTAAGAGCACATCAATCAAGATTAGGTCTGACATTTAGGTGAAAAAAAAATCTATGAAAAAATTTTGCTTTAATATGTCCTACCTACAACATGACGTAATTATTCGATTTTTCCAATGTCCTTTCGAAAAAAGTGTTCATCAAAAAAAGTGTCCATCACCCATCAATAAAAATTAAAGTAAAAGTACGACAAAAAAATCTCACGTGGTTTTACCATGTAAAAATCTCAATATAAAACAATATTTTTATTAACATGTAAATGATTCACGTGATTATATAGCAATCCGCATAGATTATTCTATAGATATTAGGCTATAGATTCAAATATTTTGTTTCATTTACTTTTTAACTATTAATAATTATTTTAAAAACATTTTTAATTGTTTGATTAGATTTTCCTTATATGCTTGTGACATGTTAAATGAATGAAAATCAGAGAAAAAATTTTGCTTTAAAAAATGTCCCCCCCCCCCNCCCCCCCCCCCCCGGATGACAAAATTATTCGATTTTTCCAATGTTCTTTCGAAAAAAGTGTCCATTTGCAATCCATCAACAACAAAAAAATTAAATGAAAAAAATCTCACGTGGTTTTACACCATAAAAATCTCGATATAAGTCAATATTTTTATTAATATCTAAATGATTCATGTGACGCTATAGCAATCCGGAGATGTTATTCTATAGATATTATTTTATATTATAGATTTAAAATATTTTGTTTTGTTTACTTTTTAACTAATTACTTTAAAGTCTTTTATAGTTTGATTAGATTTCTTTTACATGCATGTCATGTCTTAAATATAAACAAGAACACATCAAACGAGATTAGGTCTGACATTTAGATGAATAAAAATCAATGAAAAAAAAAAAAAAGAAAAGAAAGAAATTCGCTTTAAAATGTCCCTCTCACCGCGTGACGAAATTATTCGATTTTTCTGAAGCTCTTTCAGAAAAAGTGTCCATTTACAACCCATCAAAAAAATTAAAATAAAAAAGCAAATTATAGTTCTTATTGACGCACATTTACTAAAAAATATGAAGCTTGAAAGTAAATATAACCGAATAAATAATTTTTATGCCGTGCATTAACATATCAAGCAATCAAGCCATGCATTAACATATCAAATTATCGCATTTTACCACATTTACCAAATTATAGCACTTTTTATAAAATAAAATTTTATTGTTTATTTTACGAAAGNTAAATACTTGCATTTTTGAAAGAGACACTTTTTGACAATTCATTTTTGTTATTGTTTTTGTTTTTTTTGTGGAATTTGATGGAAAGGGTAAGTTTCAGAAATGTTTTCTTTCCTTCTTTCGCACGCCCCCCACTTTCATTCCGCGCGCGCTTCTCATCCTCGTGTTCTGTTGTTTTGTGTTTCTTCGAGAGTGCAGTCACGTGTGCAAGCGATGTGCATGTGCGTGTGTTTTATGAAACTCAATGTCTAAACATGGATATACCGATATTAATGTAAAAACGCCTGTTATATTCCTGTTATACCCTTTATTTGTGAGTACATTACATAATTTTTTTAAGCTGTTTTTCCATATAAACTAATAAAACATGTTTTGTTTTATTTTATTATTTATAGCTACTAATTTCTGTATGAAAAAGATTTTTGTACATTGCTTATTAATACCTTCATTAGCAAGGTTATTATCGCTTATAATAGTCTTTTGTACAATTTATAAGTTTCACCTTAAATATTTTACTTAAAGTACCATTTTTCTTTATAACTAAGTAAATTAATTTATTTTTCCTTTAAATTGACTCTCTATTTCTTATTAGTAATGTGTTTTAGTTTTTAAGATTATTTTTCAGTTTAATTATAATTTTTGCATGTGTTTCATTATTTAAGCCCTTGTAGCTGTTTGTTGAAAGTTCTAGCTTACATTTTATTCTCGTAGCCCTAACTTCCCCTTTTAATTAATTCCACATTTCTTCTTTTTTATTTAGTATTATTCTTCATTGTTATATTTTATAATAGTTAATTTAGTTCCTTAGGTTTCTGTTATGTATTAAGTGCGTAAAAACCTTGTTTGAAATATTTGTATAAATAAATTTTTATTTGAAGCTTTAGTTATTTAAAAATGAATTACTTTCACTTTATCAACAAAACTAACTTGCAAAAAAAACTTTTAGCTATAGTTTTTAACTTGAGGAATTGTTAATTTTCGCTTTATAAATTATTTTAGATATTTAAAATGTGTAAATGAAATGCGTAAGCTGTTTTTCTTCATAAAAGTAAGGCTTTATTCTAAAAATAAGATTTTTAAATCACTTAACACCTAAAATTAATTTATTCTTCAATTTTTTAAAAAAATATATGTGAGTGACACTGTTCTGTTAGGATTTATTTACGATTTACGTTATAAATAAAATATTGAAAATTGTTTTGTTATTGTCAAAAAAGCATTTAATCCTGGATATTTTTGAATTTCTCTCCGATAGTTTAATACTCCTTCTATCCCACGAATATTTTGTTTATTAATTAAATTGTTTTCTCAGTTCTAAATCTCATAACCATCGAATATAATAATTAATTGTTTTAAATTAAGAACTAGAGCTTTTAACAAAATTAACAATTATAATAATAATATTTTAGTTCTATATTCAATTCTAGTTTTATTTGAAACTTCTAATTTACATAAATATAGTCTTCTTATATGCATATATAATCCAAGAACTATGTTAATAATGAAGTTAACAGTTAGTTTTAGCAACTAATATATCAATGTTAAATTAAGTAAAATTTTTAAGTGTTAAAACTCTCGTTAAAGTTACAATTTTAAGAACCTGTTAAATATCAAGTCTTCATAAATATTTCTTTTCAAACTGATGTCGCGTATTTAATTAATGAGAAACGATTCTTTAGTTAAAAAGAAGTTTTTTCATCACATGTTAGCATTATAATCATGAAAAGAGCATAATTTAATTAGAAAATCCGTATTACTCTATTGTGCAGTTGGCACCTTCTCTATCGAGACAGTATGAATATAAAATTAGAAAAATATAAATTTCAATTAAATAATATCCTTAAGAATCTCTAAAGGCTTTTGAAATTTTCCTTTTACCTAGGTTAAAAGATTTGTGGCTATATCATAAATTCAGAGTTTTTGGCGAAAGCAATTACACTTATGATCAACAAATGCGGTCTGTAAAATTAATTAAAATTCATTCTTCATGCCGTGCTAGACATGACACTAAAGGAAAAGGTGGTTTTTTAAGTAAAGATTAAATTTGAGAATATTTTTTACGCGTCTGTTTTATTAATTTGCTTTTTACTCTGTTTCTGCTATGAATTAATGTTTTTGATGTTAATTAAAAAGGAAATCGACGACAAAAACTATTCATCTGAGAGATATGTCTTTAATTTCTTGTTTTAAGTTTTCTTGTAAATGTTTTTTGTTAAACTTACCTCTGAAGTTTATTGAAAACTAACTAAATATATAATTTAAATCACAAAAGCATTTCTCGATAATTAATAACAAACTGAAATTTTTTTTTATTATAGTTGAGATTCTAGTTTTTTATCGATACACTATAGCATTTTCAAAACTGGTAAGTGTTTCTTAAAAAAAAAAAAGAAATTCTTAAACAAATTGTAATTTGGTATTCAGAAGAATGCTTAATATTGTCTACATTTATTAAAACGTGCAAGCAGTAAAATTTCTAAAAAATTTTTAAATTGATGTTGACTTATTAATTTTTGGTGCAAAATTTTACACGAAAGTTTCTTTCAAACTTTTTCGTGAAAGCAATCAAAATTTACTAATCTTACTCATGTTTACGCATAACTTTACCTTGTGCCAAATTTTGTACTTCAATTTACGTAATTTGAAATTCTAGGTACAAAAATGCAATAGAGACCTCTGGCCTAAGATAATCCTAATTTTGTAAATGTTTTTTATTAAGTCACTACATTTGACAAAGATCTTAATTTTTATTAATTCTTTTTTTCATATTGAACATCGTAACATTTTCAGAATATGGTGCTAGTTGCAAATTATGAGTGCAATCGAAATTTCAAACAAACCCTCTAATATTACTTATCAATACTAAACCAATAGCTATAAATTAAAACTTGTTTGCCCTAACTAAATTTGTCATAACATATAATTTTTAATATTTGTTATTTATTGCAATAAACATAATAACTTTTTTAGTAGTAAATGTATTTTTTTCAGTGAAAAATTTTTACATCATGTTAGTTTTCGCAATATTTTATGAAAAAACACAAAATTTAAGCAAAAACGATTATTTTAATAGAATTAGCAAATATTAATTTATATATAAAACATAATAAATGTTTTTAAAATATTTTTCTCCGTAATAGAATGTTCAATTTTTTTTCTTTAAATTTTAGATTTCACCTTAAAAAATTAAGTTGGGTGAATACATCGTGAAGGGACAACTATAATTTCCTACACTATTTTATTTTAGTGTGAATAAAATAATTTTATTCACATTTGGTTTCTTAAATATTTCAGGTATCCATACATATTAACTAGGTATTTTTTGATGAATTTATTAATTGATTTAATGCGTCACGTGCAAGACGGAAACCGTAGAATCGTCTCGCATGTATACAGAACGTAAATATTTAAGTACTTTTACCTTAAAAATATATTTAATAAATAAAAATGATTACTTTTTCATTGAAATTTCTTTTGATGTGGGCCTTCAAAACTAAGAGAAAAACTCTCAGGGGTTAACTCAATTAAATATGAAGATGAAGCCGAAAACGAATGACATACTTTTGACCAACTACTCCCTCAACCTAACTGGAAAAAAATGGTGTCACATTTACCGGATTGAAATCACCTTTGTGATTTAAGAACTATGAATAAAAATGCGTTGAAAGGATGCTCAGTAGGAGAACTCGTCCTATGATAATTTTAAATCTAATAGATAGTTGATATATAAGAGTTGACTTTCCATACGGTATATGTGAGCAAAAAATAACATTCATTTCATCACAAAGATTTTCAAAAGATGAAGGATACTTATTTTGCTGAAAAAAACAAGGGGAAGGAATATAAACTTATTTTCGGACTTCTTTATACACACGCATAATTCTTCCATTTACAAAATATATTAACATAAGTTTAATTGCGAAATTTGCATCACCTGTATTCAACGATAATTTGCATTGTGAAAAATGAATTCCATGTATGCGTAAATATTTGTATCTCTAAAGTTTTATAGGGGGGAAAATGATGAACTCAATATAGCTAACTATTGGGATTTTCAATATTTCTTTTTAAAAAATATTTAAATTAATATTTCTTTAAAATATTAAAATTTGGTGCTTTAATATTTTTTCAAACTCGTTTTTTATAAAATATAAAATGATAGAGCAATTTATTTTCCATAATACGCATAAATTATATCCTGTGAAATTTCTCTTAATTATTATATACTAATAAAAAGAGAAAGTTAGATTGTCATGCAAAAGACGTAAGAAAACACCAATCATCAGCAACAACGAATTTTTTTAAGGATAATTATTTTTTTAAATAATTTGGAAGGTAATTATTGTAAACATTTATTGAAGAAGAAAAAAACAAATTCGTGTGTTATATTATATTATTAACTTTGACATTTTTAAAACTCGTTTATTTTCATCTTTCGTACGGAAAAGATTTTTTTCAGATTAATTGAATGAATTGCAGTGTATGGAACAAAATAAAATGTTCATACTCTTTAAATATTCGTCAAACTATATTTAATTTTTATATTCAAAAACCATAAAGGTTACTCAAATCAGAATAATTGCTAAAAAGATAGACATAAGTTGACGAAAGAATTTTAAAAAACTAAATAAAGATAGACCCAAACAGTTGACATTGTTTGTTGAAGTTAAACGAAAAAAGAAAAACAGTTCATTTACTGGAATAAAAACAGCAGATTTTTGGAAAGAATATTTTGCAATGCTACATTTCTGTCCGAGAATTCCGTCTGTGTTTAGAAATATGTCATTTTATTTTATTGTTTGGCAATATATTCGCTGAATAAAATTTTTCCGACAAAGTTATCGCAGAAAAATAATCTTCGATGCTTATGAAAAGAAATTTTAAACAAAAATAAAATATTACTAATCATATAAATTGTACTAAAAGTGATACATTTATGAAGTAAACATTGCGTTGTTTATATTATGTTTGCTACTTTTCTAATATCTTATGAAAATATACATTCATAGTTTTCTTCATAAAAAGATTTAAACTTATTAGTTCACAAACTCTACCCTCACTAAAGTATAAAGAGTACTGAAACTAAAACGTGAATATTTTAGTAATAGCCTATGTAATCAGATACTCTTTGATTTTACATCATTTTTGAACATAAACTAAAATCTTAGCGATGATATTTGATGTTTTAAGAGATTTGTACAAAGACTTTTTTAGGCATCCATTATGTGGAAATGATATCTATCGTAAGCGAAATAAATAAATATTTAAAACGAAATCATGATAAATATATTGCACTTAGCAAGGACATAGTCA